GGGAAGATCTTGGTTGCTAAGTATGATCTATAGGTGCCTTTGTCCTCTTCCATGTTTGCCTTAGGTTCTCTTACAGACAAACCCAACTGTTAAACTGCCAGATAAAGCAAGCTGTTGCTTTACTCTTGGAGCTTCTCTTGCAATAAATCTCACGTAAAACCCTGGAGCTTCCAAACCTTGACCAGTGTGGCAGCAGCCATCATCCAGTGCTCCTGCACCATGGGACATATGGTCTGCCTGTCCTCAAAACAAATCTTAGGTGAGACTAGAAGAAGAACAATTTGCCCCTTTTGTATATGCACCAAAAAGAAGCTGATTTGAGGGAGACTGTCAACTGGGAAAAAGCAACAAGTCATCAGCATCTGACATCTCACCTGTACACAGGTGCTGTGCAACCATTCAGGTAACACAGAGAGGGATCATTATTATGAGGTTGTATCTGGGGAGTATGATGCCTGTTTGGGTGTAAGGTCCTGCTAAAGGCCATATACCATGCTCCCACACACCAGGCACATGTGCTCAACCAAAACCAGCTCAAGCTGCCTAGCTGTACCTCACGTGAAGGGTTGTACCATCAAGAGTGCCCTGAGCCACTCTGCAGATACATAAGGTATGACCACGCTGCAGGCTAGGCAAAGCAGAGGCCCAGGCAGGTAAATCCCACACTCAAGCTGTAGATATTGCCTTATCTGCACTAAGTAAGATAAAATGTGGGTAGCTTTTATTGCTCAGTCACCAGGCTGGCTTCTCCACACCAACACCACCTTCACGTTGCCCACACTGCAGGATGCTGGTACAGCTCCACAGAGATGCCAGCAGCAATGTAGTCAGGCTTTCACAGACACATCACACTGACTTGGATACATGGCTCGTTTTTCCTCCTGCCTACTGGCACTGCTGGATAACATCCTAGGTGCAAATATTAGTGGGATACTTGAAGAAAAAGAGTCTCGTGTGTATAGAATCATGGAATGGTTTGGGTTGGAAGGGACCTTAAAGCTCATCCAGTTCCAACCCCTGCCACAGGCAGGGACCCCTTCCACTAGAGCAGCTTGCTCCAAGCCCCTGTGTCCAACCTGGCCTTGAACACTGCCAGGGATGGGGCAGCCACAGCTTCTCTGGGCACCCTGTGCCAGCGCCTCAGCACCCTCACAGGGAAGAGCTTCTGCCTTAGATCTAACCTGAACTTCCTCTGCTTAAGTTTAAACCCATCACCCTTTGTCCTATCACTATAGTTTGCCTTAACTCAGAACACACACCTCTCCCTGTGAATCCAGCTACAATAAAGACTTGCAGCCTTGAATGAAAAGTGAAAGGTTCCATTTCTGACAGTGTTACTGGGCAGGCTGTGAGGACCCTTGATGCTTCCTGAGTTTTCCACACATGCTTTTCAAGTCACAGCCCTACCTCTGCTCCTCCTGGCATAAACTTACAAAGAAGAAAAAGTAGGAAAAGTCCTGGTTTTCCCTACGAGAAAACCATGCAGTCTAAAATCCCATATTCCTCCTACCTCACTGTTCCTTGACCCCTAGCACTCAGTTCAACTGGAAACTTTATTCGCTGTGGTTGCATATCCACATGGGTGCTTGCTCCATGTGCTGTTGCAGTTATGTTCTACACCACCCCGAGTGACCGAGCAGAGCCCTGGCAGGACAGTGAGTATAGCCCATGTTAGTCTCAACCTGGGATATCTGAGAGTAGCAAGATGGTTGCAGAGAGAATAGGTTGAGGAAGCTGCTTTGTAAATCAGGTTAGTGCAGAGAGGGATGTGGTAACCCCTGTCTTTAGTGCTCCTACTTGATTCACTGCAGCACTGCCCTCTCATAGCAACTACTACAGCAACTGGAGCAATAGTAGCTACTCCTGTATCAATATGGGTAGGAAGGATTCGTCTGCCTTCCTCTACTGGCTCAATGACCTAATCCTCCCATAACTCCCCTCTTGCTAGAGGGGGTGAAGAGGTGTCTAGTGCCCATCCAGTGAACACCCATTTAGAGGTGTTGATGTCTCCCAAGAGTCTTTATATGGAACAGAAGGCTACTACCTCCAAATAAAATGTTAAACTTCCAGCTATCCACCATTAGATGAGATTAGCCCTGCCTCCTGTCTCACCATGGAGACTTTCTATCGCCTAAAGACGCTGGATTCATTCCTAGATCATCATGACATACTGACAGTGAAATCTTTTACCATGGTTTGAAGAACACACTATGCAGTGATTTTATAGACTTAAATGCCAGGCAGTGATGCATTGCCCAATGGAGTGTCATGTAAGAATCATAAATCACAATCTTGCCGGAGCTTGTGGATGTCAGACATGTGAATATGCTGATTTGGTATCCATGGTAGTTTGGCATGTCTCACATCTTTGTCTTCTGCCCAAAATAGATTAGCTCTTAAATATTACTCAGCACTTGGAGTTCTGCCACAGCGCAGAAGACAGTTGAGAAAACACCAAAAATGTGTCTCCCAGTGCAAAGAAATATTGAGATAAACTTCATTGGGTTTGTGCAGTCTAAAAGCAGAACCCTCCTCCACGGTGGTGTAACAACAAGGCAAGGGAGGTTATTTGGCTAATGACAGTTGAGGTGGAGATTTTAACACATGCGCTAGAGCTGAAATAGGACAAAATCTGAGTATGAAGCTGCTGAGCTTCATGATAGTCCTGAGCATGAGGCTCAGGACTACAAGCCTTGCTGGAGCACTCATCTCTCCTGTCTACACATACAACTGGGTTCCCAGTGAAAAATGAACACAGGAAATCTATTTAGAGAAGTAATCCAATGATATAGAGCACAATCCCAATGATAGAGCCCCTAAGTAATTTGTTACACCCGAAGTCCCTGCTTTCACAGCACAAATCATAGCACAAAGACAAATCTCTGCATTTGCACAAGCAAACAAGGCTGTTTGCGTGCAGAACATGTGGGGATGTTAATCACCAAGTTGTCATAGTTGGATATGTGAATTTACTATGAAGAAGTTAGAAGTTAACATTATGGTACTGTTCAAATAGAATGTGAATTAACAGGTAGCTGAAACGTAAATTCAAAGGCCAATTCGTTCTTTTATGTCCATAAACAGCCAAGATATAGTTTAATTTCTTCAGTTAATAAAAGCCTTTTATTCCCTTTGAAAAGCACCACCCTATCTAACAGCTTTTGGTATAGGAACAGTCTGGACTCCCACTGCCCATTCTCCCAAACTTCCCAGGGATAGGAAATGTGCTCTGTGAGGCTTCAAGCAAAACTTCCAGTGGGAAAATGTGTGGAAACCACTGGCCCATCTACAGAAGAACAGAGCCCCTGAGGTTTTTCAGTTCTAGAAGGAAAGCAAGTTTTATTCTTAGCTGGGAAGGAACTGGGAAAAGTATATTGTACAGAAAACTGCTGGAGGGTAATTCAAATTGAGACAAAGAGGCAGGTTTTATGGGCCTGCCCGGAGTTATCCATGTGCTTGATGATGGCTATCAGGACACACCACTCTGTAGACCACACCTCTACTGGGGTACACTTGCTAGCTCACCCTAAATACACTGTCAGGCCTGATGTGATAGGATGTGACTGTAAAATCCCTTTTGGATGGGGAGGAGGAAGGGAGAGACCTCGTGTGAAACGCCATCCATGAGTCCTTCCTTGAACCATCTCGGTTCCCAGCCCACCTGAAGGTTCATGGTGGTTTTCTCTGCTTTCCTTCCACCGGTGCAGTGCCAGGCTGGAATTGCAGGGTATTGCATTACAAGTCCCACGGGTGCTGCCTCAGCCTCAGTAAACTTTATTTAAGCACACACAGACATACACAGACAATATACATAGATTTGTTTCTTCTCTGACAGTTCTACAGGACCGACACTGCTTTGGATGACACTTTGGAGACTTGGAAAAAGTGCAGGAAATGTAGGGAAAAAAAGAAAGGTCTTTTAATAATTTGTGAGTGATGGTCATCCACAGGAACAACACGGGTGCATTCAACCAGGCGAGCACATGGACACATCTCCACATACAGTACATCGTGTCTATATAGGTATCTCCACATACATTGCGTCTATATAAATGTACAACAGTCTCAGAAGTCAGCAGGACACAGAACCAGACGAGGACTGGCATGGCACATGCTTTGCACTCCCCGTGTCGCAAACCCACTGCCAGAGCACCAGTGTGACTCGGTCAGGGTGTGAACAGAAAGACGCTCCAAACACAGTCTCACTGTACACTATAAAAAACTCACCAAATAGGCAACAACATCAGAAAAACGAACATTGAGCTGGGGTTCTGGTGACCAGCTACTTTTGAGTCAGATCTCACAGCTTTTGTGTCACCACAACTCCTGGGTTATACGGTTACTTGTCTAATAGAGCTACAACTGTCTCTCAACATAGATTTTATATACAGTACATATACACAGAACATACACAGAGCAGCATACGTATATTTTCGTGGTTTCATGTTTGTACATTATATCACAGATTATATGAACACACAAAATATATGTTTTAGGACCTAAAAAGAAATAATTTTATAAAATATTCATCATAACCCCGCCACCCCAACCCCAACCCAAAAAAAAAAAAAAAAGCCCAGAAGTCAAACAAAAGAAATCCAGAAATGCACTCTTCAAGTGCTGCCTGCCTGCCCTTGGACAGCACGAGATCCTTCCCTCTCCTTTGAGAAGTACAGCAGCACAATGGTGGTTTGCAACCATGCACTCAGGAAAACACAGAGCAGTCTAAATTGTTGAACTGCAAAGTCAGAGTGGAGTCTGGAGCCTGGCTGCCTGACTCAACACTCTCCCACCATCTCCCTTGCTAGGATTTAAAAGGTTCTGCTAGGGGCACAGTATTTTACCTGCATCGATATTTGCTAAGCTAAATCTACTGACTGCAGTCCAATACTGTTACCTCCCAGCGCTCAGAACCCAGCTTCTGAGTTATAGCTTTTTTCTTTTTTTATTATTTCTTTAAAACAATCTTTTTATTTAGCAAAAAATTGTTTCCACTGTACCCTTCGTGTGTCCTCTTCCTAATGTGACAAACCCGGAGGAGATGAAATTATGGAGATCTGGCCCTCCACTTCGATAAATATCCTTTCCATAGGGACCTGCCAAGGAAAAGAAAACAAAGAAACCATTATTGAGTGTGTGTGTATATATATCTATATGTACATATATGCTATACAGCCCTGATGTTACCCTCAGGTACAAGTATCAAGGCCCCACCACACGGCTCCATTGCTAATGGCAAGCAGAGGGTATAACAGAACATAACACCTATAACAGCATCAAAGTCTTACACCTTCCTTGGCCAAGATTTACTGAGAAGAACAATTGCATATTTGATAACTGCCAAGGAGTGAACCAATACTGAGAGGAGAACCGCTAACGTGCCAAACCAAACATCCCCATCACTGGCAATTCTGATCATCACTGGCTCGGATGCAGGTTTCCCAGGAGCAGCACTCCCAAGAACTGCTCTCAAACCTTCCAGACTTAAGAAGCTAAAGGAAATCAGAAGCGATCTGGCTTTGATCATTCCTGATTCCAGCCATACCCCTGGCAGCAGCCATGTGCCATTGGCAGAGAGCTGGTCTCAGCACAAAAGCAAAGGTGCAAATATCACGTGTCCAGGCTGGACCCAATTCCTCATTAACAGCATGATACCAAACTTTGCCTTCCAGCTTTCATTTGCTCTGGCCCTTCATAGCATCCCTGGATAGTTTCTCAATAGCCTTCTGCAGAACACTTCCTAGGAGCTTTCTCAGTCCATGACAAAAGCGTAGGTTCAGGAGGCACCCAGCTTTTTAATATTTTAATTTATTAATGAAGCCAAGGCCGTTTGCCTCCCTTTTACCATGCAAAGCTCTGAAATGAGGACACAGTTAATTTTTCAGATACTCTTTATCATCTCCTCCCTTTTTCATGTTGTTCATTTTTCTATTCCTTTTATTTTAGAAAGAGGCAGAGATAAGATAGGTGCTGGGGGAGGGAAGTAAGGCAGCCTAAGGGGCCAGGAATGCAGCTCCCTCTCCATCCCCTCCGTGCCTTTCTGCACAAGCTCGTGATGCACCACTGCTCTTCAGCACGGTGGCTGGGAGTCCATCACAGCAGATGGTCCAGTGCACACTTGAGCAGGGGAGATGAGTTGGGAAGCTTTGGGGAGGGCCAAAGGGGCATCAGGGATCCAGGTGGAAATGCAGCCTGGGGCCATGCTCTGCCTGGCTCACATTGCCTCTGACAGATGCTCCAGCCCTGCACCAGTTTTCCAACACTGAGACAAAATCCTGTTTGCTCTCACAAGCTTGTATTCTGTCTGGCCATACTGTGACAACCAACAGGAGCAGAGACTTTGAATCTCACCAGGCTGCCAAGTTTTCCTCTGTCTCTTTTAGCCACTCATTCCCACCTGTGTATCCCAGCAGCTACCACTGATTTTACAGGCCATTACTCCTGTCATGAGAGCCCACCCTGCACACAAGTGGGCTGAAGGTAAGCATCCCCCCAAGTCTAGACTGTCCCAGAATGATAGAATCCCAGCCTGATTTGGGTTTCAGCGACCTTAAAGTTCACCAAGCTCCAACCCCTGCCACGGGCAGGGACCCCTTCCACTAGAGCAGCTTGCTCCAAGCCCCTGTGTCCAACCTGGCCTTGAACACTGCCAGGGATGGGGCAGCCACAGCTTCTCTGGGCACCCTGTGCCAGCGCCTCAGCACCCTCACAGGGAAGAGCTTCTGCCCAAGAGCTCATCTCAATCTCCCCTCTGGCAGGTTAAAGCCATTCCCCTTGGCCTGTCCCTACATCCCTTGTCCCAAGCCCCTCTCCAGGTTTCCTGCAGCCCCTTCAAGCACTGGAGCTGCTCTCAGGTCTCCCCTTCAGGAGCCTTCTCTTCTCCAGGCTGACCCAGCCCAGCTCTCTCAGCCTGTCAATATTCCACTCTTCTGCCGTGCAAAGGATCTGAGCAGACTCCAAACCCCACTCCTCATTCAGGAAGAGCACCAGCAACTGCCTGGCCCCAAGAGTCTAGCACAGAAGTCACCATCACATGAGCACGGTGAAGATCCTTGGAGGAGGCTCACATATGGTAGGCAGAAGATGCTGAGACTTCTGACAAATATTTATTCTTATCTAATAGGGAAAGCATCCCACTCCCTTCCCTCACAGATCTGTTTTGTGGTCAGGGTCAGTCAAGTGCTCCCTGTCAACTCCTCAAAACACATATGAAGTGTTTCTGCAGGCTTGGGAGTGTTAGCAGCAAGACAGTTTTCTTCCTACAGTTATAGTAATGGAAGGTGGTAGCAAAAACCTTCAAATGTGGAGGCACCCACCCATAAACTGGCTGAGAGGAGAGTTTCCAGAAATAAGGAAGAAGGATTTTCTGCTTCCACAGGGAACATTATGGGCTCTTTCTCTCTTCTTCCCACCCCGCTCTTGTGAGCTCTGGCTGCTCTGTTCCTGGACAAAGGTGGCAGGACTTTGCCTCCGAGTCCCTGGAAGTTATTTGTGCTTCATGAGGTGTTTGTTCTTATCCTGAGAAGCACACAGAGGGTTTGCGGCTGCAATGCCCCATTTGCTTTCTAAAATGTGCTGCACTTTTTCTCTCCAGAAAGCCAATTTTTGCTTATATACCATCAATTTTCTATGCTTTCAGGGCCAGCTGCTCTGGTGACTGACACTCTGTCAGTGTCATGAATTTACTGGTTTAAACAAGGATAAAAGAAACACACAAATATGTGCTATTCCCTCTAGCTGAGATCAGCTCTTTTTATATGTCCCTTTGGAGTCTCGGTTTAAGACAGAGATCAAGAAGGGGAAGTATATAAAAGAAGCAAATATTTACTGGCAGATTGAAGATTGTTCATCAGCCATTTGTTCTCTGAACCTTGCTCTGCCCCTTCTTATAGTCCATAGTAGTTAAATTAAACCATTCTTGTGATGAAAACCCATTAGCATTTGAACAGAAGTTATGTTTTCCCACAAGAAACTTGCATTTGTAGACTTCAAGTAGCGAGTTTTCCCTTTTTATGGGTACATTATAGGATGCTACAGTTGTTTTATATGTTTTTTTTTTTTCATTCCTGCTCACTTGTGATCATTTCTCTTGGCTCCACAGTGTAAAAATGCTGGTAACATGGCTTTTACTTCTAGAAGCACCTTGGGGGCTGCAGGTGCGCCAAGCTCAGCTGCTGCTATTCAAAGACTTCATCACCACTTCTTGATGGATATGTTTCACACTGGCATGGTACCTTACCAAAGTGCATGTGCCTAGAAGCATCAGCAGAGAAGGCTGTAAAGCACTGGAAATGCTGTCCAGGGCTATGCCAGACCAGAAGCCACCCCTGTCTCATTCTCTATTGAGGCTGTTTTCCTCCTTTCTGCCTTTAGCTGTGTGCTCTCACTGGTCTGCTGCTGGGAGTCCTTCCATAGATTGTGGCAGCTGTGGGGTGGAGGCATGGAGATGCTGCAGAAGCACCCAGTCAAATGGAGATCTCTGAGCTAAGTCTGCTGTGGTGGGGACAGTTTAATGGCTTTCTTCTTCCTGCTGCCTACAGGCATTATTCACACTGCTCTCCCTCCTCCCTCACGTGAGACCACATCAGAGCAAAGCTGCCCTTTGCTGGTGTATTTCCCTGGGAGCACACACAAATTCCATGGGTTGCTTCGAGGCCCCTTCCAACCCAAACCAGTCTGGGGTTCTGTGGTTCTATACTCATGTTCTCAGGCTCCCAGCACACACTTTCCCCCTTTTACAGCTCCTATTTTGGGTGGGATTAGTTGCTGTCTGCCAGTTTTCCACATCCATACTAGCACACATAACCTGACCTCATGGCATGGAACATGCTACCTACCAATACACTATTTCTCTAGGAATTTTATATCTCCAAGGTCTATTTCTCACAATCAAATCTAAAATGCTGCTTCAGAACCCTGTGTCTGAGTCCCTGGAAGATGTTTTTCCTCCCTCTCACTCCCTGTCCTTGCTTACACTCCTATCCATGTGCTCTACTGCATATAAACCCTCAGATGCACACAAGCTCCCAGGCTTTTGCATTAGAAGAAATGAAGAGGGCTCCAGCAAGGCTGTGTGTGTTACTAAAACAAATGAAAACTAACACTTACACAACTTAAAATCTCCAGAAGAAATTGAAACAAGGCGAAACATGACTTTTTCTCTCTTCTCCTTTGGTTATAAAGCACAGCAAAGGCAGAGAGCAGAGGAGTGTTTTGCCTGCCACACAATAAAGGCATATTCTTTAGGGCATACAGCTCAAAGAGGGAACATTTCATTACAATGGCATCCTGCATAACACACATATGGAACAAACTCAGTCACAAACAGCAATTACATCCCCAGCTCTGATTTAACAGAATTATTAGAGCTGAACTAAAATGCTGTTATCCACCTCTCGGAAATGTTATTACTGAGCACAGATTACATCACCCTGAGAAGGGCAGACAGGGACTGTTGTGGGCAGCCTTTTGCATGGTTTACTCTGGGATTCTGACCTTATCCTTGTCACAGTTTTCACCCAGAAAAAAACTCATCCCCAGAGAAGCCTCCCCACATCCAAACTGCTCAGCATCAATGTTATTCTCAGACAGATCTCTGTGGAAAAAGAGATAAAACCTTTATTTTGGACACACACACACACACACACAAATACGACCCACAGCCTACCTGCCTCTGATGCTGCTCACTTCTGCTGGAGTGAGTCTTTTGGAGCTATTTTATACATATCAACAGACTGACACAAAGGGCACGAGCTGCCAAAATGACCGTGAGGTGTTTGCTGAGCACATGGCACACTGCTCTGCACTGCTCTGGATGTCCTGTCAGTCAAACGCAATCATCCTTGAATGCGAGGGGAGGCACAGCTCCAGACCCAAACAGTGGAATTCTTGGAGCCAGCAAGCACGCAGACCAGCTCAATCTGAGCAAAGTCTCATTGCAGCAGTTGGTGGGTGTCAGCCATGGCGTGAGCTACGTCACGGAAGGAAGTGTTCAGCCTGGAGAAGGGAAGGCTCCTGAAGGGGAGACCTGAGAGCAGCTCCAGTGCCTGAAGGGGCTGCAGGAAAGCTGGAGAGGGGCTTGGGACAAGGGATGTAGGGACAGGCCAAGGGGAATGGCTTTAACCTGCCAGAGGGGAGACTGAGATGAGCTCTTAGGCAGAAGCTCTTCCCTGTGAGGGTGCTGAGGCGCTGGCACAGGGTGCCCAGAGAAGCTGTGGCTGCCCCATCCCTGGCAGTGCTCAAGGCCAGGTTGGGCACAGGCGCTTGGAGCAAGCTGCTCTAGTGGAAGGGGTCCCTGCCCGTGGCAGGGGTTGGAGCTGGAGGAGCTTTAAGGTCCCTTCCAACACAAACCCATTCAGGATCCTGTGATCCCTACAGATCCCCAAAGCTTTTGTGATGTTTCTGGAAGAGAACGGGTCCCTCTCCAAGCCAAGTCTTGCGCACTGTGAGCCAGTCAGTCCTGTGTCATCAGGGACTTGACCAGCTGGCACAGGCTCCAGCAAGCACATGGCTCTTGCACAGCTGACTGCCCAGAGCATCAGAAAACAGTAAAAATTCAGGCCAGGATCACTCCCAAGCCAAGGGGGAACTTCGTATTCAAAACAGAAGCAGCAGATTGTTCCAACCTGTAAACTGGGAGAGCCTTATTTTTCCTTTTGATTTATTTCAGTGAATTCTGCATTATCAGCTTTCAAAATGCCTTTGCATCGTATTTTCCAGCCTTCTTTACAACCAGGATGGGTAAAAGCTTCCTATTCACTACTGAATACTGAAGCTCTCAAGTAAAACTATTGGCCAGGAGCTGGGCTTTATGGATAATGTTGCATACTGGAAGACTTCCCACAACACCGCAAGGATGGGGAACAGTTCCCTGGCATGGGGTTTGTGTCAGTCCGAACTAGCAACCTGCCAAAAACATGCCCAGTTAATGCAGAGGAGAACAAGTCAAATCCAGTGCAGTGAGCTCTATGAGCCCAGGTTGTACTCATGGATCTTTCTGGCATGAGGAAAGATAAAGTGAAGCTAAAAGCTGTGCTGGCTTTCCTCATAAGTGACCAAGGGAACACCTCCTTTCATTATCTGTTGACTCCACTAAACTACAGCAGTTGTCCTTGACTTTGCACCCCCCTGCAAGCTTCAAGAAGCTGTAAGAGGCTTCAGGAAATATCAATTTTAGGTTCTGTTGACTTATAAAAATTACTTTGTGACAGTAAAATACAGGACTGCACTGCTGGAGGGTCTTGCCAGCAATGTGGGTTATTTTTTAGGCTGAGAAAGTTGGGGCTGTTGAGCCTGGAGAAGAGAAGCTGAGTGGAGACCTCAGAGCAGCTTCCAGTGTGTGAAGGGGGCTACAAGGATGCTGGGGAGGGACTCTTCATTAGAGACTGCAGTGACAGGACAAGGGGTGATGGGTTAAAACTGAAACAGGGGAACTTTAGATTGTATATAAGGAAGAAATTATTTCCTGTTAGGGTGATGAGGCACTGGAATGGGTTGCCCAGGGAAGTTGTGAATGCTCCATCCCTGGTGGTGTTCAAGGCCAGGTTGGACAGAGCCTTGGGTGACATGGTTTAGTGTGAGATGTCCCTGCCCATGGCAGGGAGGTTGGAACTGGATGATTTTAAGGTCCTTTCCAACCCTAACTATTCTATGTGCATTGGGGGTGATAGAAAGACAGTGATGAGTTTATCACTGGGATGCCTAAATAAAAAACACTTTCAAAGAGAGGATTAAATTAATAGGAAAATAAATTTCATCATCTCTCCAAGGCTCCAAATGCATGTGTTGGCTAGAGATAACCTACTGAAGCACCTGGTTTGTGGAGGTAACAGCTCTGCTCCCATGGTCTTTCTCATCAGCTGTACCCAGTCACACACACGTCTTGAAGCAGGCTCTGAAGCTCCAAAAAGAGCAAACACTGAAGCTCCAAAAGGACACCCCTTTCCTCTACAGAATAGCAGAGGGAAGAGACCCCATGGATGTTGTCCTTTATGCAACAGGGATGAGGAGCTCACACAAACAGACTTCCCGTATTACTGTATGCCCTAATCCCTGTGCTGAAGCTTTCCTCCTTGGCACAGAAGGAAGAGAAAGAAAGCATGGAAGGAGAAAAGGAATGAAAAGGGACTCTAATTCCTTTCCCTTGAGGACATAAGGATCTCTTTCCATCACGGGTGCAATCTGAAGCCATGCAATCATGTAAACCACAGTGAAAGCACAAGCAAATCAAGACTGGCTAATACCTCCATAGAAAACTTAACCTGGTTGCACTCCTTGCCCAGTGAGTAGAAGAAAGCCACTACCACACCTGCAAGAACCCAAACTGGCTTGGGGTTCCCGTTCAGAGGAGTCTCAGGCACTCAAATCCCAGTGTGACTGAAAACCAGTTGTTGCCATCAGTATTAGGGAGAGCTGTGTCGCTGCACCTCTGCACTTGCAGTGGTGACACTGCAGCTCTAACACTGCACAGGGCTAATGATGGACCAGAGCTGAGCAGAGTCAGAGCATGACCAACTGCATAGAGGGGCTCTATGCAGCTCTATACATCCATGGGATCCTTGAAGCCCAGGCTGTCAAAAATTAATGACAAATAAGCCCTTAATCTTCTGCACCCTTAAGCACATGCTATAATTGCAGAGCCGGGGATACAGAAGGAGCTCAAGTTTCAGCATGACTCAGGGAAAGGAGAAAAGTTTCCTTCTGTTTTTTACCAAGCCATGAATCAGTTCACTTATCCCTAGTACTCACACATTCCCACAACACCCTATCAGGGAAACAAAACACAGACTGAGGACTGTTTTATCATCCTGCTGGATTCCGTAGCAAGGAAACAATTACTGCAGGCTGATTTAAACTATCCTATACAGAGAATATCAGTCACGATTAAATGCTGCAGGTTTTCACAGCAATGTGTCTACAGCTTTATCTAGTTCAGTGATTAGCCTGCTCACTCAATGTGCAGAAGCAGCAGCTTTCATTTCTTTCCCTGCCAGCCAGCACTCGAGGCAATCCTCTTCCTCCCTGGTAAGCACCTAAGCACCATTCTATGTCTTCTCTGATCCCTTACAGTCCATCCTTTATCCACGCTGCAATGAGTGTTGACATTATACAGTGAGTGTACTTGTCCCCAGATCCCTTCATGCTGGCAGGTCTGTTGGTGATATCAGGAAGAACTCCTGTACTTAAACCCAGTCCCACCTGAGGAAGGACTGAGGATCTCTTAGGCTTCAGTGCATGAATCTCTCTTGCTCTGCTGGGACATGGCCAGTCTTGGCAATCCTCCCTGTTTCCACCTGGTTAACAGTAGTAAAAAAGGAAAGAGAATAGAAACAAGAGGAAAAGCCAGGATTTCCCAAGCAGGAATCTCCAGGCACTTGTCCTTCAGTGCCTAAGTGGTGATGCTGTTGCAGCCCAGAGAATATGGGTTCTGCTGTTACCAGTGAAAATCCACAGAGTTTGTAATGACCGGACACTGTGGGGTCTTGGGGCCGGACTGGGCTTGCCTAGACCTGAGCTGCTCCTGGCTGGTTGGGCTGTGATAGGAACACCGTGTCTGTCACCTACCCTGGGCTGGCTCCACCTGTAGCAACAGCCCAACAAAGCCCGGTTGTCCATGGAGGCAAACTGATGACCCAGCCAGAGAGATGTGGGAAGAACAGGCATAACAGCAGAGACCCAAGGGAAGTTAAATCAGTTCATACATCCATTTGGAGGGTAAAATAAATTACAGAATCACACAATGGTTTGGGTTGGAAAGGACCTTAAGATCATCCAGTCCCAACCCCCTGCCATGGGCAGGGTTACCTTCACTAGAGCAGGTTGCTCAAATGAGTCTTTCTGCATTAATTTGAGCTGTAAGCACTAGTACTGCTGTAACTGTTCTGTGTGTTTTGATTAGAGTGGTAAAATGTAAACTAACAGCACACTTTCAGCTTCACACACAAGGTAAGTTCCCTTTGGCTATGTAGGATTTTGAGCTCCCACCCACTGCCCCTCATTGCTGAAGTGTCACAGGCAACACAACAAGGGCAAAGGGTCTGCACTTTCTAACTTGCAAGCTGGGTTTCTTACTTTGCTGCCAGAGCTGAAAGCTTCACTTGCTGTGACAAGTTAGTACTGATCCTCCTCCTCTCCACAGGAACCGGTGTCTCTCCCTATCCCTGGTCAAAACTATGCTGGATTTTAGTCTGTCCGTGCAGCACCAATAAACCTTTAAGCTTCACAATAAGTGGGGTTGGAACTGGATGATCTTAAGGTTCTCTCCAACCCAAACCAGTCTGATTCTATGAGTCTATAATACTTTGGTGTTATTAAGTCAAAGCTTCAAAGAACACATCTTATGCTCCGCTTCTAATTGAGGTAATAAATAGAGGTGGCAGAGCTGCTACAGTGAGCCCCAGGTGACCTTAGGTAACTCCAGGTAACCCAGGGTGCCTCAAGTGATCTGGATGCTGGAGGTACTCATGGCTCAGACTTTTCGCTGTGTTAAAACCAAGGGGTAGAACTCTGCTTCCTGAGGACAACACGCATGCATTGGCAGTTCATGAAGAAAATAGAAATAATGGAGGACCAATGGCAACCCCTGGTGGGATGGGGAGAAGAACTGGCAAAAACGTAAAACCTTATCTCAACTGAGGAGTTTTATAATGAAAATAAAGCAAAATATTAATATCAATATTGATGTTGATATTATTAATAATAGTAGTAGTGGCAATAATACTGATAATGATGATGATGGCTGGCCCATCCCTGGCAGTGTTCAAGGCCATGTTGGACACAGGGGCTTGGAGCAAGCTGCTCTAGTGGAAGGTGTCCCTGCCTGTGGCAGGGGGTTGGAAACTGGATGAGCTTTAAGGTCCCTTCCAACACAAATCCACCTGGGATTCTATGCTAATTAAATGGAGAGGGAGAGGGAGAGGGAGAGGGAGAGGGAGAGGGAGAGGGAGAGGGAGAGGGAGAGGGAGAGGGAGAGGGAGAGGGAGGAATAAAACCCAAACCAGACAAGTGATGCACAATACACAAAGTGCACAATACAGGCTGGGCTGACTGATGTCCAGCCCGTCCCCAAGCAGTGATCAACGGCTCCCAGACAACTCCCCTCAGTTTCTATCCCAAGCATGACGTGCTGTGGGATGGAGTACCCCTTTGGCTAGTTTGGGTCTGGTCCCTGCCTCTGCTTCCTCCTGGCTTCTTGTGTGCTTCCTCACCGGCAGAGCAGGAGACTGCAAAGTCCTTGACCAGGGTAAGTGCTACTGAGCAACAACTAAACCATTGGTGTGTTATCAGCATTGTTCTCAGACTAAAGCCAAAACACAGCACTGCACCAGCTGCTAGGAAGAGAATTAACTCTATCCCAGATGAAACCAGGACACAAAGCCTCTCCTGTTTGCTGTAATTCTCTACAGCCCCTCTTTCTTCACCCACACTTCCACAGCTTTCCTATGGGAAGAGCAGCAATTGCCTACATGGAAAAGTAATCTGAGGGAAGTGTTGAGTGCTTTTCCCATTCTCTGTAATCTGACTTACCAAATGGAAGCAGCAAGAAAGTGTTACTCCTCTGATACAATAGGTGCTCAGAAAATTACAGCAAGAACCTACACACCAGAGAAACCCTTCTGCAAAGCAGATGAGAATGTTGTTAGAAGATTACACTGAAGATGGAAAGTCTCCAGAGGTTCAGAGAGATGGCATCATCTTCAAATCAAACCTCAAGACTCTTTTGTCGCGTGTTGGGATTCTGTGTTGCACGGACTTTTGGAACTTCAGCCTTTTATTTCCAAGTGAATACCATCTCTTGAGATAACTAAGTGAAACTGGGTGATTCTCAGTGCTTAACTGGCTTTAGAACAGCAATTTTAATTTGAGATGAAGATATTAATTTCAGAAGTGTTTTAAATGCTTGCATTTACAATAATCTTCTTGAATAAAGAAGCTACAAAACTTCAGATACTGTCCCCAAATGTATTTAGTTTATGGAGTTACTTCTCAATAAACAGAGTATTTAGAAATACATGGTGCACATGTACATCAGCACTGCAGCCTGCACATTGTGCAAGGACTTCCAGGGGAAAAGGATGATGGTGACTCATTTTTCCTTCTGGGTAAGGCAGGAAAAGGGAATGTACCCGCTGCTGTCTCACTTCACTCTGAAAAGCTGAGTCCTTAACGTACATGATCTCAGGAAGTCTCTGGGAGACTGGGGCTAAAAGGAGAGGAAGTAACTGTGTGGATATCTTAGCCTCAGTCATCCTCTGAAGGCCTTGGTCCTGTCACTAGGAACAGAAAGGGCAGAGGAGGTAAAAAACAGGCCTGTCATTAAAAAATGAGATTTTGTTATTAAGACGTGTGGGTTTTTTTTTCTTTTTAAGGTGGGGAAAACCTTCATTTGAAAGATTCAATAGAATACAACTTACTAAGGAACATTGCTGGAAATGGAAACGAGGAGAATTTATGAGGGGAGAAAAAGTGGCATGAGTGATGGAGCACTCCATTTTCCCCAGGTACAGGAGAAAAGGGAAATGGCTTCAGGTGCTCTCTGCTCATGTGCTGAGCCTGCGAATTCACAGCAGGCTGTGAGCATTCCTGCTCTCAAGTGCTAGGACATATTCCTGCCTCAAGTGTAAATATGCATGGAGACTCCAAGATGCTCCACTCTCTATTCCCATCCTGGCTTCTCATGTGGAGCCCCAGAGCTGATTTTCTCACTGGTATTACACAATCCCCACCGATGATCTTTAATCTGTTCCTGCCCATTCAGGGTATGGCTACAGAGAGATCAACTATTTGTCCTGGCTCTGTTCTGAATTCAAACACATTTGAAAGCTATAGAGAAAACCAGCCTGAGAAAAAGGAGAATGGCAAATGGTGCAGTACATTACACTCAACGAGAACAGCAGGTTCCTGTAGGCTCCTGGTCTAATACAGATCTATCCTGAAACTCTCCTGTCGCTGCTTGCTTTTCTTTAAACAGAAGGTGAGAGCACCAGAGGGTTCAATACAGGAATCACTAGTTGCCTGTTTAATACTCTCACCACTGCTGGCTCTCACCCCTCCTGCTGTGCTCCTCTCATCAGCAATGCTGCACTGACACTGCAGGAACTTGGCGACGTCCAGGAGCACAGGAGGGGGCCACTTGGACACGTCTCCAGTGTTCGGCAGCACATCCCGCGTTTCCTAATGCAGACACGTGTAGGAACCTCATAAGGTCAGCAGGTGCCTTCCAGCAGGGAAAATGGGGAGAAGTGAGTGTTTGGTAGTGCTGCAGGTGCGTTAACAACCAGACATTTCTGCGCGAGTCAGGGCAGGACACATGAGACTGGTTTTGGTTTAAAACCGCTTCTTTCTCCTGAATTAACAAGAAGCTCTTCCCTGTGAGGGTGCTGAGGCGCTGGCACAGGGTGCCCAGAGAAGCTGTGGCTGCCCCATCCCTGGCAGTGTTCAAGGCCAGGTTGGACACAGGGGCTTGGAGCAACCTGCTCTAGTGGAAGGTGTCCCTGGGCTGGAACTGGATGAGCTTTAAACCTTTTCCAACCCAAACCATTGTAGGGTTCTGTTAATTGCTTCAGCAGCCTGTATCTGCCCCTCCTCCCCCCAGGCTCCTGCTTATCTCTGTTGGGTTTTTGTTTCCTCTTCTTGGTCCTGCCTCACATGGGGTAAACAGTGTGTTACTTGAGAATGGATGCTCTATGCTGGTGCTCTCCATGCTGGACAGGGAGCACGGGACATGCACAGCTATCTGCACAGAGTGCCTTTCTATCTCCATGCTCATTTCAGGCAGCATCAACAATTCCCCAAGACTGCAGATTCCTAGAGGTAGATGTAAGTTGCACTGGTGCCATCTGTTTACTTGTTTAAATGCTTACAAAGAGTGGCTTCTGGGTATTTGATCTGGTTTTATATGGTAATTCCAGTGCTTACTCACAGAGATCTCCATAGCTAGGAGGAATGTTGGTAAATAGCACTATGCAGAGCTCTACACTCGTGTAACATCCGCTTTTATTGGGGTTGGATATGCAGGAATATGACAGGGGCACATTCCCAAAGTACAGTGAAGCAATCTAATGGCACAACTTGTACTGCTGATAATGAGAGACACAAGGCCAGCAACTCCCTGTGCTGTGCTTTGAAACTGTGCCCTGGGGTGCCTTTCAGCATGGGCTGCTCGAAGCCTAATCCAGTTCCTAGCAATGCTGTGCCTCTGAACACTGTTATGTGATCTCTGGATGCAGAAAGGGAGCTAAGCCGGCCAAGCTATGCTGCTTCTGCTGGAGATTTGCTGATCTCATTTAGACAGGGCCTAATATTCCCCTTCTAATTAATTTATTCTGTTAGCCTGCAACTGAACTGCCTTTTGTTCTTCAGGAGCTCCTCAAAAATTAGATGCAATACCTAATGGAATTTAATTATATAGGCTAGGGGAAAGTGATTAAGGGCAAAGGGAGGGCTGATCACACCACACATCTTCAAGGGTAATAGCAGAAGGGAAAGCGGAGGCTACTTCTTCTCAGTTGGAGGAGGGATACTAAGGAGTGACTGACTCCAGCAGGAACTTTAAGGATCGAGATGAACGTTCTTTGATCTCTGGATGCTTTGCAAGGGTCAGACGTGTATTCCTAGAGCTGTTCAGATCTGTCTTCAGGTACCATTACAGTGAAATTAGGTCTGCACATCACCCTTGGCTTTGTGCAGCACAGCCCGATTCTGATGCTCTTTAATCCCCTTGGGAGCTGTAACAGGGAGAACAGGCTGAAAGCAAAGGATCCATCAAGAAGCTAAACACAAAGGCTTGACCCCTGGACCACATATCCCGGTTCTCAGGGGGAGAACTGAGTTACACAGATGCTAAATGTGAAGGGGATTCAGGAGTGAGGGCTCTTAGGCTAAATTTGAATGGAAATGGTGCAAAACTGCACAATTCCACCAGAGTCTGGTCACCACAGCTATGCCAAACTCTACTCCATGGCATAGGAATAACTCTTACTCAGGGGAAAGTTGTAGAATTGCAGAAAAGGCTGGCTAAGGAAAGAAACAGCAAAGTGGAGAGAGAGGAGAAGAAGAACTGGGGCAAATAAGGATGCCGGATGACAAGGAACCATTCAGACTCCTGGGAACTGTCTACAGCAACACAAGTGAAGGTATTCAATGATAACGTGGGTAACCACCAGGCTGTAGAAAGCACAAAGTACAGCCCATTCCAGGCACACCCTTCATTTTAAGGTACTTGAATAGCACTGATGTTCTGGAATCATATGCCAGCACATCTTATATGGAGCTGGGCTCTGAAATGGTAGGGAGAGAGGTGGCTGGGATCCAAGGTGTCCATGAAAGCCATCAGAACTAATGGCTTCCATCATCCAGGGGAGAGTTTCCCAGGGCAAGGGTGGCTGCAGGCTCTGGGGCACTGCACTGATCCAGGGACAGGCCATTGAGTGGCTGTAAAATCAGTGACAAGGAACGTGTCTCTGCTCCCAAACTGGCAGGATCCTCTTGCGAAGGCACACTGGGGATGTGGAAGAGGTGCAAGGGGAAGAATGTATCCTAATGTCACCACGTAGGTTAAGTCCTAAACCAGCTGGAAATGGAAGAAGATTGTGTCCAACTATTTTGCCTTAAACAAGCTGTTTGAAGCACTGGTACCCAGCAGCCTGCTGCGTACCACAGAAGACCTTTTTAGACCCAACACACAAGCCTTGTTCTACTTAAGAAACACATCCCCAGGTGGGAATTCAGCAGCACAGGGTCAGGGAAAGCAGTGCAGAACGTGGCTTTGCTCCCAGCAATATCTCTGGTGCCACAGGAGGCACCAGACCTTAGGGCAGTGATAAGGAAGCTCAAAGGATTACGCTTAATGCTTTGAGACTACATCTGCCAAGGGGGAGCATCCTGTCCCTGTCCTGGTTAGCAGTAGCTGGTTGAGAAGAGTCCTTGTACTAACGAGCACCCTAGGGCAGCAGCAGAGAAAAAGGACCTCCCTGCTGAATGAGGACCCCTGAGCAGGACATCAGCACTTCCACAGTGTGCAGCAAACGCATTCCTGCCTGAGTCATTTCTCTCACAAACACCAGACCTGTCAGGCTGCCTCTGACTGTCAATGATAATGTCTGTCTGACTGAGGAGCTGATGGGGGCCACTCAGAGCCCATCCTGCTGCAAACAGAGGCCCATCTCCCAAAGCAACATGTGATTTATCAATAAAGCATCTCTTCCACAAGCTTTCAGGAGTTTTATGCTGCTGCAGCCACGCTGCTGCTCTCAGCCCAGCCAGCCGGACACAGCAAGAGGAGCTACTACCCTCCTTCTGATCTGAGGTCAGCAAGCCCAAGCATACCCAGGTCTGCATGTTCCTCCCCAGATAATCTCTCAACCAACAGAGAGGTCAAAGCTATCCCACTTGCAGAGCTACTTCAGCACAGCCACACGGTCCGGAAGAGCCTGCAGTAAGTGCTCTCAGATTGTACGAGACAGAACCAGAAGCTGCTATGAAAACAGCAATGCAGTGAGGTGCTTCCCAGCTCACCACCTCTGTCTGCAGCAGTGGGTGGCTCCCAGACAGTCTGCACAGGTGGATGTGCCAGGGATTATCCTGCCTCCTGATGCACCAAGCTGCTGGGTCTGCTCAGAGACACTGAACACTTTGGACTGGGAGGTTTGGCTGCTGCAGAACCTGGTTCTGGCAGCATGAAGAACAGCACGAGTGAGTCCTTCCTGAGCTCGAGAGCAAATGAGATGCTCTCTAAGAGTGTGGTTCCATGTCAGTATCACTAGGAGAAACGAGAACTAAGTAAGACACAACTGTGTAAATTGACAGTGTCAGGTCTCAGGATGACCTGGGCACCAATTTCCCGCTAGAAAAGTGAATCCTTCTGATGTTTTTTCACTCTGAGTCAAAGCTTAGCTCATTGGCTTTTCCTTCACATGGAAATGCCCTCTGATCTTACCCAGCAGCA